GGTTCACATAGATAGCATTATTTCAGAGATGATGGCCACTTACATCTGATTTTATGGGAGGAAAACAATTGGTTAAGCATTCTGGACACAATTCATAATGCATTTAATACTCATCTTTTAACCCTTCCTTACTTGCACATTTTGGTAAGCCAGTTACTATACGAGCGGTTTCAGTATTTTTCTAGTCTGTCAGAGTCTCTTTCGAAATATGCTTCCAATACTTCACAAGCTAATTAAATTTAAAGTTAGAAAGAAAGTTCATCGGTATCATTTTATTTTAAATGTAGAACTAAGTTGTGTTTTATCTTTTATACTCAGAAGTCATATTTACGTATGTTCATCAACTCCATTACTCAGTTATAAGCAAAATATTAATAATGAAATCAATACAAACGACATAATTCTATACTAAAGATTTGATATATTGTTTGTGTATTTTACATTATTTTACAGAATACGCTAAAAGGTTTTGTTACACACGTTCAAAACTAATATATACAAATTTTCTTAATTTTAAACATGATTTTGCAGATACTGTCATAAGTCTTCAATGCCATTTTGCCTTTCCCCACAAAAACGCATATGATATAGCGAAGTGGTGTTTCAGTTGGTAATTAAATGTTCAAATAATTAAGATTTATTTTTCTAAAAACATAAACACGTGACCTTTGAAGGATAATATTCAACATCAATAACCAATACGGGTTTTAGAAATATATGTTTTATGCGGGTGGTGTATGATGGCGAATAAAAAGAAACATAAACTATACAATTGTAGCAACAATAGCATTTATTCAGTCTAACACGAGGGAGTGTGTCTGGCCGGACTTAACCGATCATGTTACATCTGTACACAAATTTTGTTAGCTAATGCCTTCCTTCATAATAAAAAAATATGACTTAAATGGTGCAGTCCTTGGTTCAGGTCATTGTGATTCCATGAAGCATGTGAGCAGATAATTGACCAAAAAATTGACTATATCTGCATTTATGATCATTTGATTACATTAAATATCCTTGATAACATGGATAAGACATCTGACAACTTAATTTTTGTAATTTAAATCTGAATAAAATGTAGTTGTAGTATTTGCATGGTTCATAACAAAAAAAGTTTATAAAACGCGTTTTTTTAATTAGTTTTTTTTCTGCATTACGTGTTTACCAAAAAAAGGATTGATATATACTCTTTCATTTCTTTTGTTTTTCGTTTTTTCTGTTTTTGTTTTTGTCTTTGTCTTTGTTTTTGTTTTAGTTTTTTTTGTTGTTGTTTTTTTTCATTTTTTACTTTCAAAATCAGGATAATGAAATAGATTTCTATTTCATTTTTTTATGGGCTTTTCATCCTTTTGTTGAAGGATTGTGTATATATTATTTGCAGATGGGTGATAGGATTAATAATCTTGAAGTAATGTAGGATTTTAAAAATCCTATTTTCAAATTGTGTTTATTCCTTTCTGTATGAAAGACTGAACATATATATCTGATATTAAGATAATATTATTTTGCAGCATCTGTAGATGAACAAACAGGACGAATAATTTCCTGGTGGATTGAAGGTACTAGTACTCTATGCTAATATCAGATCATTTAACTTGTAAAATAAAAAAAAAGAGTTTTAACATGTCACAAGAAGGATGAGGTACGGACGGGGGAAAACAAGCCGGGATGAATAATAGAGTAACGCCAAAAGCCATTTCAACAAAGTTGTTACTTTAGGTCTGAAATGCAGGAACTTTCTTCAACATGACTATTTGATAAAATGATATTTTCAATCTCAAGATGATATACAACTATAATACAAATAAATAAATACAAGATACAAAAGTCGGCCTTTTAGTTCCCAAATCTAAAGCCTAAATACACATCTACCGACAATGCATGTAATAAATTCATGGCGAACTCAGTACGTGTACAGGGAAAATATTGCTCTCTCTCTCTCTCTCTCTCTCTCTCGTATATTCCTTTTTGGTGTTGTATAATGGTTGCTTTGTTTACATGGATTGATTTTGTTATCACCAATATACATTTAGGTGGTTAATATAAAAATATAAAAATAAGATATGGTATGATTGCTAAAGTTCAAATGAAGTGGATGTAAGCATTTTTTTCGATTTTTCATAAAGCTGATGCGATACTCTTTGAAAAGAATGCATAAAATATCGTCTTTCTTCATAATAAAACGTCTTTATATGAACCAACACTTACAAATAAACTTAATATTTTTCACAACAGAGAGAGAATAAAAGCTTTATTTGAAGCTTTGTCTATATCCTTACAAATAGATTCTTTAAACATTTCTATAGAAGAACAAACAAACCGCACTAAAGAAATCCTTTGATTCCTTGTTTTTAATAGACCATGTCCGTATCACAACTGCACTACAGAGATAATGGAGAGCTCAGTGCATCATGGACCATTCATGCGGTAAATGTCCCCAACCTTTAAACAACAATGTGGTCTGAAATTGAAACATTGTCACAATCTGCAACACGTGGCCATAGCTGTTTCTTCCCGCCTAATTAAAATTTTAATCATCTCATGAACCAGATCAAACTATTATTTGTTTATTTATGGTATTCTATCAGAAAAATGAAGAATGTATCACGTGTCCATTATTCATCCGAGAATACATACAGGATGTAAACGAATCGGGGATCCACTAAGTAGCTATGAATATTAAATTAGTAATATTGATCAAATACAAGACAAATAACGTCTTTCGTTTGACTTTTTCAAAAATTAAATTGCATAGTATTTGATTTTAATAAATAATATTTTCCTTGGCGCGGTGTGAAATTAAAGTCTTTTATTCTTACTTTCAGATATGTTTTCTTCAAGTCCCCGTTACTCCGTTACCACTGAGTCCTCACTTAAGTCTGATAACTTTAATCTTTGTCGCAATTCTTACTTATGGGTAATCCTATACGTTTTTGCTCTATACATTAAATAAATATAATCTATACATGATGATGTACCACTGTGGGGAAAAACTATTAGACGTTTACATGTTCCAATTGAATATTTTGATCATCACCATATATACTAGTCAACAAAAAATAATGATACAAGACAATGTATTTTCCATATATTAAGCATATATACTACCATTTTATGTACATATAATTGATTGTAATAATTAATATTTGATCGTTGTTTGTGAGTTGAACTTGAACATGGTCTGATTTAAATTATGTGTGCCTTGCCCGATATTTGAAATTGACCGATTGTGTCATCATTCTCCGCAAAATAATTTCGAACCCTATGTTCAATAACACGTTTTTTTTCACCTTCGAACAGGGTCAGATTTTCTGAATTCTATGCATTTCCAAGGTCCTTATTGTTCTAATGATGCGTTTCAGATTTTTTTTTCTCGAACATTTGAGATTCTATATTCTAAATAATATGGCTAATTTATGATGTACCCTCCTCCTTACCCCCCGAGAGCAATTGCTTTGGTACTGAAACGACTTAAACAATACAGTTTATCTGAACTGTGGAATTGTACTCAAACTATAAGGTTGCAACTCTATCATCGAAGTTGACCTTGGATAATTTCGACTGTTATCTTTTATTATGCTCACAAATAGTTTATGTTCACCATAAAAATCTGTTCCTTACGATTCCATGAGTTTTTTTTATCATTCACAACTAAAGTATAATTTATGAATCGTGGAAACCTTATAACTAGAAAACTAATTAGACGGAAACATATGCAGCACCATTGCATTCGACTGTGATTTTTTTCAACCTTGACCGAAAGAGTTCATAGTTAATGCCAAACGATATGAAAAAATTTCTAGCGATAATAAAGGTCTAAATTGAGAAGATATTCGTTAGCACCAAAAATGCGTCCTTTTGCATTACAACTTTTTTTGCGCCAAAAGTAAACAAAGCGCCATTAGTTTCTAGTTGTATTTAACTTTGAGATAAAATCTATAACCTTCTTTTATCATTGCTTAGCACCAAAGGCTTACAACGGCGAGGTTAAATTAATTTAAAATCGTTTAATAATATATTTTAAAAGTAAGAAGACAAAACATAAAACTGTTTAAAGTAAAACAAATATGTAGCTTAACATACAGGCTTAGTTTTCCTTTCACAATTCAAGAATTTGGTGTTCTCTCATATCATTTATGCCGCCATTCTTTTACATACAATGTTAATTCCATGGGTAAGTCTCTTGTAGATATGACGAAGATTCAATTAAAACATCAATGCACTGTTCATCTGTAACTTGATAGATAAGCATACAAGTAATTTGTCGCAATGAATTCTATACTCTAGCGCAATTGATGATTTTAAATAAAATTTGGCGCAAATAATATAGCCCAAAACAGCAGCTGACACAAAAATGGTGCAGCCCTGAATTGAGGGCATGCACTTAGTTAATGAAGTTATAACAAAAGTCATAACTGAAAACCTCATGGTACCAAAGCTCATTTCATACTCCAGATAAGAATATCAAAATTGGGTTTTCCTCCGTGGTGCTTCAAAAATAATACTAGAATATTTTACGTTCAAATCGCACAAATTGCAAAGATAGCACATAAGAGGATGCCTTTCTAGACCAGCTAAGGAGCATCTGTACATAAGGAAAATACCCAATACCCTTAGAACTTAACACATTTTATTAACTATTAAAATATATCAAGTATCAACATCAAAATAATGTCATGTCTGTAAAATAGTCCTGGCTGGCGTGCTTTGAATACAATAAAGTTCCAAAGTTTCAAGATCTCTTGAAAAAAGTTATTTCTGTAAAATTATTTTAAATCATTATTTCTTTGGTGCCATGGATGTTATCTTCACAGACTATCAATCTACAAGAGTTGATATTAGACCCAGTGTTAGTATTTAAGATTACATATATACTTGTTTTTTTTTCCTTCTTTATGAACGTTCATAGCCAAACTGAAGAACACTAAAGGATAAATAAAAAGGATTTTGTTATCGTGCAACGGAAAGATAACATTTGGGGATCTGATATATATGCATTTTCAGGGTTGTATTCTTTCCCCTGTTGTAAAGAATATTGGTAATGCCCTGACCACCATTTTTCCTAAAGGAAAGAAAAAGATAAGACCATATATAAATGTGCCCTATGCTATCTGAATATTACCGAAAAATGTTTACATAATGAAAACTATTATTTAAAGCTTAGAAATAACCACAAAAGATCAATACAGAAAATGAAAAAAAAAACAATAAATTATTTGATAACTAAGCATATCTAAATTACATAAAAAATGCAAGTGCGCAACTTCAACCAAGCTGTAACAATTATAGGTACAGTAACTGAATTGTCAACAGAAGTACTGAAACTGCAAAAAAACAAACGAAGAAATATGTTCTTTGAGATAATCCATGACATAGTCATTATTTATTGGAAAAGGCAATAACTTTTGGTTTGTAAAATCGTATACGCTCAAAACATATACCACGTTAATCCATCAAAAAAGCTAAAATTTTCCAGAGAGATAAAACCTCGGAAATGATTTCGTTTCTTGAAAAATACTGACCAAACATTTCGGTTTTTTTTTATCGAAACATGACTTATAAATATAGTTCCTTTGGCACTTGGTTCTTTGCATTGAATTTATATCTTAGTTTGGATAGCATACTATAATATCCTATTCATGGGAATATTACCTGTAAGATAAACAAAAATAAAGTTGAGGAAAACCATTAAAAATATTTAAAGAATTTATTTCTTGAATATAAGGCACTGTAATTAGGATAAAACAATAAAACAAATAATTATTTATAAGTAAATGTAATGTTAATACTATGGTTACAGTTACAGTACTGTTTTAGAGCACAGTTACAGGAACACACTTCGCCGTGATGTCGCATTTGTGAGCCTTCACATTGTTTTGGAGGATCTATAGATCTATAAAAACTAGTTGGCATCTGTATACCATCTAGTGTAATGGGAGACGGATCTTCGTTTCTCCTTTTACAACCGATATCTGATGACTTAAATTGAGATTGGTTGATATTTGTGAAGGATCCTTGTCTCTGTCGTGACCTAATTGGCTTTAACTCTGCATACTGTGGTGTTGTTATTTGTGGAGAAGTGTTCATGGGATATGTAGCTGAATCTGAAATACATCGGGGAATTAAAGACTGGAATAAATCAGGGTCTAGTATGTCGCCATAGCTACCACTGTAGTCAAGCCCATTTAAAATGTCGTCACCACAAAAATCGTCTGTCGACGAACTCAAAATACTTGAAAAATTATCTTTTGTGTCCATGTCTACGCAACTATCACGCAATTCGGATTTAATTTTCATTGAATTTTCTATTTTTTGCTGCTCATCCCCAAAATAATTAGGATAAACTGATCTTTCATCTGGGACACAGTCATGAACTTTGAAAACTCGTAAATTTGCAGATGAGTTTCTATAAGAGTCGTCAGTTGAGACAGAATTTCCAAAATTGTTTTGTTGGAAAATGATGTTCATTTTTGGAAACATGTTTGAAACACTATCACAAGGATACTTTTGGTTGTTAAACTGAGGATGAATGCCAACGTTGTGAATCTGGTCTGAACATGTTAAATGATCCACATTACTAAAGCTGTCGTTAAAAAAGGCGGTTTGACCTTCTGCAGAACCAACAGATGATGATCGTTGCCAAGGCGATGGTGTTGCCTCATATATTTGTGGTGTCCATGGATTCGGTCGTCTGGGGACTGTAGCAGGATTATAGGTATATCCAACAGACTTGCATGTACATTCAAATGGAGGACAAGAACAAACACATTCGGAGTCTAAAACAGAAGAATAACACTGTATATTATCAATGGTGTTGAGTTTCAAATAGTAGTTCATATCATAAAAAAGAAAATGATATCAACAGATGTGGTGAATTTATTAGTTTTGAATGGTACAGAAGACTTACATTTGTATCTACATCAATTGAATGACAAAATGTAAAGAAAAGGGCGCCTCTGACTACTTAATTGGCTTTGCATCTATTACTGCTAAGAATAAATAAAAGGACAGCAACCCATCGACATATAGAGGGCAACATACAGTCTTCAACAAAATACAGGTGTCTATACAATTTATTTCAGAATATTCTATTACATAAAATATCATAGCCTTGTCTTAAAGTCTTTTTTTCAAGCTGTTTGGTGTTATTAGGTGTTTAAATCTTTTGGTACCGAGACAAATCTAAAGAATTTATTTCAAAAACAATATCATACCTGAAAATGTCATTTGATTCTATTCAGTAATTATAAACATACTTACATGGTACTGTTTTCTTATGTCTTTCTGATGGTAATTTTCTATTTCTTCTCTCATTCAAAAGATTTGTCTGAAAAATAAAAATCCAGGTTTAATCTTGGCAATTTATTAAACCACATTTTCTTTGTAGTGGCTATTTACATTTTTCTTAAAGATTTGCATGTGCAAGACTATTATCAACAAACTTTATTTACAAATAGTTGATCTTTGACAACAACGCTAAAATCTTGTGCAATTAGGTATTAGTTTAGATAAATCTCAATTATCTATATTCAAAGATAACGAAAGAAAAATGAAAAATCAAATTCGAAGGTTACTTACAATCATAACTTTGTGTTGCTGTCTTGTCATTTTTTGGTGTCGTCTCGAAAGAGATGAAGCTTTGACTTCCGGTTGAGGGTGATCATGGACACCTTTTGCTTGGAAGTATATTGCCCCATGGACGTGTCTCCAAAAGTGTGTGACTGGGTATCCACAGTGACCTTTGCATGACAGTAACTCTAAACGACCTTTACAGTTTACATTTGGACACGGTTTCCCTAAAAGAACAATAACACATATATCATGATGTTTTCAATGTGGTATGACTAATAGTTGTAGTTTGTGAAGTTGTGACCTCAAAAATTAATATTGTTGTATATAGATGATTTACAAAACTTGTATAGTTGGTGCATTATCCATTCCCAGTGACATTAATAACGATAACCATCCAAATGTGTCACATTCACCTTTAAATACATAAAATAGCGCACCTTTTAGCTATAGTGTACAGTCTAAGATCGTGACAAAACTTTTGTTTTCAGTGTTGTCTATGTGTTTAAAACACGTGGTAATGTCTTTTGCCGTGTTTTCATTAGATAATAAAGCATATATAATTCAAACTTTTAATACTGGGATATTCGACAATTTAATATACCTATTTGTTTTCTTCTTGCTTTATCACATATAGCGGGACGTAGATTTATTTTGGCTCCATTTTCCAATGTACAATCATGACTACAGACGTAAACTCCAAGACATGATTTCTTTAGGATATGCGCATTATGATTGTTGGTATTGCGCATGGCCCAACCACTAACGTGACGTCTTGCATCTTCCACTTCGACATTGTAGACGTAGCGACAGTTTTCTGCTGGCCATTCAGTAAACATATCAAAAGTTTCAACCTTTTAAAACAAAGAAAATTAAACATATAGTACGCATTCTAATATATTTAGTTATATGATGTATAATTATACCACTAACCCCTCCAGTCATGCCTGAATTGGATATATCGAATAATGTTTCTAGATGTCTTTTGATTACTTGGGTCGTTGGAGTGCTTTCTGGTTAACATAAACCTCACATCTCTTTTTATTCGTTTTGGATAAGAAACTTCTTATCTTACAATGTATTTGTTTTTCTCATATGCTCATAATTGAATTCTAAAGAAAATGCACTGTGTTTTAATACCACAGACGCGGTTAACTTTATTCTTATGTCTCACTAGGACATCTCCTTAGTAATCAAACATCCTCAATTGAATATGGATATATTCAAATTTGATAGTGTCATGAAGTATATAAAAAATATTTATAATGACCTATTCCCTGAAGGTAATAAAATAAACTTACAAGTGGTAAGGCATTATCATTGATGTCCCATTTATGTTTTTGTTCCTCGCGAGATTTGATTGAAGGTAGGAAAGTTGGCTCTTCTGTTAATGTCATTTCAACCTGAAAAACAGGAAATTGTCTTAGAATTGTCACTTGTCTTCTAATTGCTATAAAATAAATTCACATATTTGCACATTTCATATTGTTTCTGCATCAATAATTCAAAGTTGTTAAGATCATTTTTATTTTTTAGGAACAAGACGCTATGTTATGGACGTGCAACCTGTTTCAAATGACCCTAACAAATTTCATAGTATTTAGAATTTAGAGCAAAGGATGGATGACCACACTACATGCGGCCATTGTTAATTTCATTTGACGTTTTTTCTAATGAATATATCACAATGTATATTAACTTTCCTAGCAGTCATTAGAATAGGTATTGTCACTTGAATTAACGAATTGAATAAATCAAAAAAATAACACGTGTTTGGGATATTTATGATGTCCAAGTTAACAATCAGTTTGGTCTTTGACTGTATTAAACACAGTCTCCATATAAACCGATGGTGTAGTTATGTCGTTTTACGTATTCAAATACAAATGACTATTCATATCAACAATATGTGTTAGGGGACGTTTATCGACGAACGCCTAGTTCGGTAGCAGAATTACCTGTCGTGTGTCCTACCAATTTAATTACCAATGATTATTATAAGGGTGATATCATCATCAGACATCATTTTCAACAAATTATTTTCACATTTGATATGATAGCAATGTGTGTCCATATGTTCATCTCATAAATGACATTTTTCTTTGAATTTTATATAACATAGTTTTTACCTACGTGAGTGAGTAATAATAAATAAAGTAATTCGATCAACAAGCCCCCTGACACGAGGGGATGTGTACACTGTAAGTTAGAATATGATAATTTATAAACGACATATCGATACAGCTTGGAATATCAAACATACGATTGTAGGAACAGTGAACAATGAGTTAACAAATATATATCATATCATTCGTGTTAGGAAGAAGAACATAAGCAACCATATGTGTTATGTTAAAAAACAATTATTATACATTTGATGGTACCTTGTGCGCTAGAACATTTGTAATACCTGATAGACAATAATGTGTTATATTTGTATGAACATATTTCTGAAATGATCTTCATCCGGTATACTCCAGCTCCAGAATAAAAGTTCGAATAGCCAAACACAAAAAAAAACTATTGTGAGCATATACATCAAAAGTACATAAAAAGAACAACTAAAACAGACCAAGGTCAAATTATTCCGAGGAATTTACCTACTAGTATTTAACTATTACCTTAGTTTTAGCACACATTGGCAAACATTGGTAAAAGACATCTAATATAATTAGACTTTTCCTCTGAATATCAATGTGTTTTACTTTTAAGATATTAGATGAAAAATGGAAAGACATGTAAATCTCAACATGACTGCCAATACGCCGTTTTGCTCCACCATGCCAAAAAATATTGATTTGATTCCTTTGCATACAACACGTCTTTCTAGAATCATCTTTATCTGATAAGCTTGTGACTAGAAGTTTGGATAACCAAACATAAAATAAAAAAACGAATAAGAGAATAATAAAGCAAAAGAACAGTCAAACTCGTCGTATGTCAACATTGCAATAGTCAAAATCGTCTTATGTCAACATTACCCGAGAGAGTTGCGTCATTCGTTTTAGCATGAACCATATTTTATCAAATAACAATCTATGAACTCTTCACTGACTGCACGTAACTATTATTGTGACTACTCCGTGGATACTGCTTTTATTTTTTTCCCCAGTTTCTTAGGTTAATATTTTTTTACTTAAATAAACTAATGTGCCAACTTCTTTGTGGCAAGGTAGATTAGGAATTCTTTTGGCCATTCTAATTAGATCTTATATCTTTATTTCAATTCTGCATCTTAGATTATCCACAGTAAGGCTATGAGCGTTTCTTAGAAGTTTATTTCCTGGAAAGTGTTTGAAAAGGGAAGGGAAGGGAAGGGATTTCTATTTTAAGTATTCGAATTTAAAGCTTTTTTATATTCGTAAATAAAAAATGTAAACATATGAATCACTACAGTAAAATTTTCGATTCTACAATAACTTAATCAAAACCATAAGCAATTTGCTTATTACCCGAAAATTACTGATCTCATATTTTGTACCTTCTAATTACTTCTTTTTTATTTCATTTAATAAACAAAAATTGATATGCTTTGCGCGTTTCTTATTCGTGACTTCGGTAAATTTTCGGTATTTCATTTCCTTCTACAAAACAGCTGTTAAGAATAAAGATTAGCATATGCAACGTGGATTACTGGGACCGTATTACTAAATGTTGGTAATTTTTACGGTATTAGGCTTTATAAACTAAAATAAAACTCAGTCTCCTATTAAATCCAAACTTATTATCAATGCATTTCTAATTTTAGGTTGTTGGATAAAACGTTTGAGCATCATTTTCATATATTCTATTTTACACACTCAGTTTGGCATTAAATTTAAAATGTACTGATATTTATAGCTATCATATAACCTCGTGTGGTTTATATCTGTAAGCAGTAATATAATTCGAATTTTGTATCAATTTTACTGTATATTTACTCATTCAAATGAATGGATCATTAATTAGAACGCAAGAATTTTATAAAATATAAATTTCACATACACCAAGCCTTAAAAGTGTTATAATGATTTATACATTAGCGTATTTGCCGGGAAAAAATATATCTATATTATTTCATGCATAAGTAAAATTAATTAATTTTCTAGTTGTCTTATTGGAAATCATATCACGCCATCTTATTTTCATATATTATATATAATGCAATCAAATTCAAAGTTTGCATACTAACCTTACTGGAAAGTAAACCAACGAACAGACAATTAGCTAACTCATTTTAAAATGATCACTTACCCTTGGAGAATTATAGCAATTTTCCAGTCATTGAACAAATATTCGATAAAATAAAGTGATGCTGGTGACAATCTCAAAATCTTATAAAACACCCAAGAATAAATTAGCCAATCAGATCTTTCTGTTGCAGCAGAAATCCCACCTGTTTTGTCGTCTGTCAATAAACTTAAAATTATTTCATAAAGTCATTTTAATGTCATAAATTTAGCCAATCAGAAGAGGATTAAATTCAATTTGGATCATTAATTTTCAAGAAAATGTGTTGAATATTAAGAAATCAAAGCTCAGAGGTATCTTAAATCCGACAAAATTAGGAAAATTAGTCCGACAAAAATATGATTTGTAAGGTATAAGACACTGCGAGTTGTAAAAAATGATATAAAATATTTCAAATTAGAACAAAGCAAAACTTTTGTGCAGTTGTTACTGGAATATGATTTTTATTCAAAATCTGTTTATGTTTACTATCATCTTACTGTAGAAGGTTTTTATTTAGGTCTATTTTCTCATATCTAATAAAATGATAACATTAATATAACTAAAATATGTTTTAATATAATCTTCCATTTCTATAGCTTTTTTGGGTTTTACATTTCATTTGAAGAAATAATTGTATATATGCTATATAATTCATTAAATAGTGCCTTGAATTAAAACTTCTTGCCCATCCGAGATACTATTTATACATGATAAGTAAAAAGATTGCAAGAAAGTATTTTTTTCTGTTTTTTGTTTGCTTGTTTTTTTTTATTTTTTTAAGATTACAAGACTAGTCGTCGGAGGCAAAAATGAACATGTCTATGACGTCTTTTGTTTTGAAATTTTGAATAAGTGATCCCGGGTGTTTATGCATTTTAAAACTACAGATTAAGAAGAAAAAATGTAGAGTATGCAACGAGACAATAACAAAACTATCTCGGTAACCTTATAAATTTGAAATTAAAAGATACATGCAGGTAATCATAGCTTATAGTTTATTTTCAATTCTTTTCAGGTAATTAAGACATCTTTGTCGCGGAGTGTTCTTTTTATTTTTCCTCCCAATGTTTCAAATGATATTCCAAGTTGTAGACAAAGTAAACTTATTTTGATATGATATATATGATCATATATACCCTCACTAACCAAAGTTTGTTTTTTTGTGTTTTCTTTCTTCATTATGATATATTAACTAATATAAATAACATGAAGGACAGTCAGACATTTAGTTATGTCTCAATACTTGACAGTAAAACATTTGGTGTAAGCCCATTGGTAAAATATTGTAATGTTAAATATTTCTTTTTAATCGCTATTTGTCAATTTGCTGAGGTGGAAAAAAAAACTTTTTATATATTTGTACTGGGAAAAAGAAGTGAATTTTCTTTAAAAAACTATTGACGATCCATTGTGACCGATTTTGTGCTTGTGTTTTTTGGAAAGTATATGTACTATGTTTAATTGAGCTTTCAAGTCAAAACTTTCTGCTTTCATCATTATTTGTATTTTAGTAAGCATATTTCAGTTTGTTTAATATTAAAATTTTCCATAAACTAATAGTTAAATAAAATGTGTTATCTTTTACGTCCTATGTTGTTTTTTTTTACAAAAAAATCTTGTAAATTATTTATGAAAATATAATGGCTTACGTTTATCATATTAATCATACCAGCATGGTGTCATCAATGTATTCAAACAGAGTGTTCATTTAATTTTTAATAAGTATTTAATAATTCAACACGAGAACGATGCAGATGAAACTTAGTCAGAATCATATCTTAGAAGGTATCTTGATTTTCTAATGATTAATATGACAGTGGACAACATGTTGGTGAGCACACTTTCTTCGTGCTAGTTCATTTAAGGTCAATCTTAGAATGTAACATGAAGATTATAATGTTTTAATTGGTTTTACTCTTTCTAAAAGACTGCTGAAGGGGTACCTTATTAATATGTATAGTTTAATTATTGTTAATCAACAAAGAATATATATGTACATTCATTTTTATTTCATTTACAAACATGAGAGGATCTATTTATGGTCTTTAAAAATTTCCTGTAAAATATAAAAAGATGAAATGTGGCATACGTAATAGCTCAATAAATCATTTATCAATAATTCAAAAAAAGTTTACACAAATATCTGTAAGAAAAAAGCGTGTATCATCGAAAACCCGGTCAGAGA